TAGAAATAACATACCTCTGTGATATATGGCAGTGCGTTCATGAAATGATAATTTGATATCAAAATCACATCAATAGTTGAAAAATCCACTAAACCTGTCTAAAAGACAAATTAAAGTACTTCAAAGATTGTCTTCTAAAAGGAAAAAAAAATGATCTATCTGTTGTAGTACCTCTGGTGGACAAACTTCTGGTTCTGCATCAATAATTACCCTACCAGAAACTTCTTTCAAATTCTAGAGATTTAAAGTGTTGGTTACTTGATTGAGCKACATGTATTACACTATCTTTAAAACAAATTTGACTCATGTACATTTTGAGATGTAAATCCTTCTATGTCTTGCAGTTCTCTCGTTGTCCAAGACTTTTGAGAGCTTAACTGTTCACTAGAAATGCAAAGGAAATATCATAACTATATTTGGATATAATTACATGGATGTGCGAAGATCTATACCGATTTTATCTTTCAAGAGTATTGAAAATTTCTTGTTGAAGAGATTTTCAGCATTAGAAGATAAAAGCCATATCTCCAAATGAACATGTAATATCAATAACAATTATCATGTTATCACAGAATCAATGTATTGCCCAGTATTCTGCAGTAAATGAGGCATCATGGGTGATATCGGCAAGCTGATGTGATGATGTCAAGAATTCAATAATATTGTACTAATTGAAGTACTCAGAGTCCTCTTAATATGCTCGCCCATATAACACTTGATCTAAGTGCAAACAGTCCTATGTCAACAGAAAGTTTATCAAAATAAGTTTTCTGCAGGCTCAAAGTAGTGTGCAGTCATCTTGTAAATTCTGACCATGTACTGTGGTATTTGCTTAAGTTTGAATCTCATTGCAATTTTTAACTTGAATTTTTTGTTAGTTTATAAGCAAAACCCAGTAACACTGCACGAATTTCATTATCCCAGATCAAAATCTTAAAGCAAATCCTAACTGTCATTTCCCGCTCAAATATTACATGTCAAATGTAATCAAAAATATTCATACACACGCACAAACGACACGTCGTATCCCTAAAGACATGTTTTCACATACTTGTTAACTAAAGATAACGGAGAGAAATGYGTGACACTGGACATGTCAAGCCCACAATCCAACATGATCGTTGTCTGCTTGAACTGGAACACAAAACATGGCGAGTTCGGTGCCTGGCTTAAGCAATACTAAAATCAAAAGAAAAAAGTATCACTTTAGTTCTAAATACACATTGATGAATCAATTATAAGTGAATAAGTTGGTTAGGTAGATCACTTACGAGTTTCATATTGAACTTCAATGTTTGAAGAACAGAAAACYTTTCTCCACTTTATCGGCTTTCGAGAGCATGAAATCGACAAGGCGTTCCACGAAGTACCGAGAAAAGCTGGGGAGGAGAYACAGGAAGYCCATTGTCGATGAATAAACTAAGATTAATCAATCATTCTATCAGTTAATCATCAAATCAATCAATCAATCAAGTCATTTTCTAATAGCATATTTAATTAGTCAATAACCTGAACAATTTGTTGAAATCAAAAACAATTTACGAACGAATCAAGGTTTTTTCACCTTCACGGATGATTAATGTTTCTGCTTGGTTGATGCTGACTGATTCAACAACAAGCCTCAAGATTAATTATCATTTTGGTCATGTTTTGCCGTAATTTTAGGCTCCAAATACCTTTAAGTATACTGTACAAACTGTAAGAACATAAATTTGAATTTAAGGAGAACTGGAACCATTCAGTGCGCGGAGATAAATTTTCCGTAGAAATATGGTCGACGAATTCAGGCCTTCGACTTCAACATTTAATTCCTCAAGATGCGTCAGTTTTGAGGGAGTACTTGTCCGGCAAGCCACCATTGAAGATGAACAAGAAATCGTCAACCTTTCATGCTCCATCTACAATGAACATGACTGGCTTGCCACGAACTTCTTAAGGATCCTTCAAAAAGATAAGAATCATATTTTCGTTGCAGTGGTGGAGGAAAACATCGGTGGATGTGTAATGTGCTGCGTGGTCGATTCAGACGCCACCCTTGTCATGTGGGGAATGCGAATTCATCCTCAATATCGCAGAAGAAACATCAGTTATCAGCTGCGAGAAGCCGTGTYTACTTTTGTCAGAGATAACTACCCTTCTGTTTTGATTGAACGGTTCACTGCCATTTCTGAAAACAAACACGTCGAGAGACTCAGACTCAAACTCAGCTTCAAAAAGGTCATAGAATACAAAGGCTTCAGTGTCGAAATAAGCGACGAGGTAAGAAAACTTCTCTTAAAGGTTTTACAAGCAGTAATGACAAAAAATTGCTCCATGAAAAAAGTTAGCAAAGAAGATATCTTATCTATGATTGGTAAACACCATCTATTGCCAGCTCGTACAGTAATTATGGAGTATGTTCCATATGCACTGACAGAATCAAACATGGACATGATTTTTGAGGAGAACGACGTTGTTTTAGTTGATAAGGACCCAACAAGGCCGTCTCGTACCGACAGGTTACGAAACCTCTTTCCAGGGTTAAAGTCCAGCGGMATCTCGTCATTTAGCCACGCCCGAGTTGTYCAAAGAGTCGAGAATTCACATTGGGAAACAGTTTTGTACGCGTTCACACCATTAAGTGTCAGAGATCATATACACTGGCAATTACGAGAAGCTCTTCAAGCATTCAAGGACAAGTTTGTTTTCACCTGCTTTCACGCTTATTATAATGCTGAAGTCGTGTGGGATGTACTTGTRCAGGAACTGTGTTTAAGACAGCTAGAGGACAAGCATCCCCTGACTAAGATTATTGTATATGAAAGACCGGTTGAGAGGAATGAAGAAAAAGCCGTTACATCACTATAAAAAAACGATGGTCTACTCTTCAAGTGACTAATGTTTTTTGCACGTATAAGTGACCACGTTCTGGGCGTATGGTACGAAGTCATCATCGCCACCGYCTTAGAACCAGGCGAAAATTTGGCGCACTSCACTTCGCAACAGGATCAAAGTCAATATTRAGACTAAAATTAAGACTTATTTTTCCTTTGTAGGAACGGCACAATTGCTTCTATATTCTCGGAAAGAAAAAGCAAAAACGGGTCATTGCAAGGACTAAAACTCCCTTGCTTTSTGTTGCACAAAATGGCGTCGCTTAATTACAATTTTTTTACAAAACTATGTTTGTTATTTGGGGAACTGTATCTTTTTAAAGCTTCATAGTATTGTTTTTGAACCTATTTTGCCATCCACAATTCACATACTGAAGCCAAATGGGTCTCAAAGTTTTAATAAAATACTGTCTTTCATTTCCTCTTCTTTTGCTCTAATTACGGTCTGTTTATGAGGGGTAGTGTGGGTGAGTGTAAACTCTCCGTTTTCTTCAGTTATAATAACAGGTCAAAGGCATCACTAAGATAGGCCCAACAAGAGTTCCTAATGTCTTATAGAATTCAGATGTGAGGCCATCATTCCCTGGGGTTTTGTTTTGGAAACGTACGTATTGAAAACATCATAGCATTCGTTATGGGAAGTCCGCGCACTTGATGTTTTGTCAGTGTGAGTTTCGGTAAATCACTTGATTAGGTTCACATGAGGATTATCAATTTGATAAATATGATTCATACATGTTTCCAGGCTTTCTTTATAGAGGACATTACATGGGCACTTGGAAATACGGATTTTATCTTTGAGTGTTAAAAAGTGAGCGTAGCGAASGAGTRGAAGATTTTCAACACGAGAAGATAAAATCSCAWCGGTCATATCCAAAATGCTGATGATGGAGTGCATCATATCCATTGGGAGTCCCAGGGTTCACAAGCTCAGACGAAAGTCGACCMGTACACTTCATGAAACTTGATGCGATTGTTTCGGATATAATTGATAACAATTATATACACCGAGTTTACAAAATTTCCACTTCGTTTTATAATCCATATTACAAGTRCTTTTTGAAATGCAAATAAAGCCAATTGATGTCAACTATTGCGTCATATTGTTATAGCTCTCACCTTTGGAAAACCACCAATCAATTCTTGGTTGTAAACTATGCTTTAAGTTCCGATGAGACGATATGAATAATTCATCACATCATTGAGAACAACTGAGAACTTTATTCACTGAATGTTTTGTATTTTTTGAGGCAAAACGCACAGGTGCCGTRGTGGTTGTGCGAAAACTTTGTTCTGTTATGTTCTTTGCTGGGAATATGCTACGGACAATTTTAGCGTTGTATTTTGTCAATATGACCTATTTGTGGACAATAGCCATGTCAATTGAGATCATTTCAAAGGATAAACTTGATATCAAGTTGATGAATTTTTACCACAAGCCTGGTTTAGTACTACTCGACAGTTTGGTCAAGAGAGTTGAAGCTACCGATGTTTCATCGTGTCAGGTTCATTGTGT